TCTTTGCTGTGTGTGATGTCTTCAGTTGGGGACTGTGCTAACTGCATTGGTGGCCTCTAGGTCATCCCTTCATTTCTTTCTTTTTGAGAGGTGTTTAATTAATGATCTGAGAGCCCTGCAAAGTTGCAGCTTGTGGCAAGTTTCACTACGGTGGCCACAGATGAATCTTAGATGGTGTCAGCTGCCTTGGTTGTGATTTTTGTCTGCCTTTCTCATTAGAAAGAAGGGGCTTTCTCTGCTTATAGAATTCCCCCAACAATTTGAATTTGTGGGTAATTTTTTATGAGAGTTCGTGACTGGGCAGAAGCTGGGAACTAGCTCTTGGATCACTACACTTGTGCTTTTCCTGTTTTCCACCCTGGTATACTGATTATCATCCAGGACATCTTTTGAGTTTTTAAAATAACAAGAAGGCAATGTGACTTTTTTGGTTGTAATTGTAACTGCCTTGCAGTTTCTATTTGGGTGTTACACAAAGCTCTTCTGTTTGTCAATTAATTGCTAAAGGTCTTTTTGAAACCTGTCTGTAGAACTGGTTTAGAATTATGTTCATATTATGTATTTATAAGAGGTAGGTGTGTGTGTAAATGAGAACATTTTACATTTGGCAGAGCAGGTTTGAATTGAACCAACATATTTCTGTGGTGCAAGAACTATGTTCCTGAGCAATAAAGAATAGCTACAGGAAACGTGTATTAAGCAGCTGTGCGTGGGGAGCTCCCGCTGTGCAGTGTATGTCGGAAGCAGCCGTTGTGCATATGGTAGCACTTGCCAGTGTGGAACACATGGTTATTTCAGTTCCTTGAAGTACTCACTTCTGCCTACAGGAGAGCTACAGGAGCTACAGGAGAGAAAAGATTCATCGTTTTTCACTAAAATGAAAAAATACCCCTTGAAAATAGTGTCCGTGTCTCTTTTTCTTGAAAGGCAAATGAATCCTGTGCCACGGTGGTGGCTGTAGTGACCCCAGAGCTCACGTGCAGTGTGTCTGGCTGCAATGGGCCCATGTGGACTTTGGCAGCCCCAATCTCTCCCTCTGAGGACAAGTTTGTAAAACCTGAACTGTGTCTTTTCCCTTCTCTCACCTTAACTGAAACAAGCCTGTGCATGGTGGTGTCCTTTCTGCCACATGAGCTCTCATAGGAACATTTACGGGCTGCTTCAGAGTGTGGGGTTTGTCCCCTTGGGAAGACTAATGGAGTGATGGGAACATGTCCCCGCTGCCGCAGGTGCTGCACGCAGGAGAAGCAGTGAAGTCGCCCCTCGAGGTTTTCAGGCTTGGATGCAAAAGGTTAACCTTGTAAAACAGGGCTAGAGACCTCGAGAGTCTGCCTTTTAAAAGGGAGAATTACGGCATGTTCAATGCTAATGGAAAGTCAGCTGTGTGTTAGACTCCTAATTTGAGAGAAAGAATCTTGAAATTCTTGGTAATGTGTCCTTAAACGTATGAAATGGAGCCGTTAATGGATGATTAAGACCTTTAGATTTCTTGCTGAAGCACTTGGACATCTCTCTACATCTCTAATTAAAAAGCATAAATGCAAAATGCCCTAATGCCTTTGATCACTTGGAGTGCTCTAAATATAATCATAGAATCATAGGATGCTTAAGGTTGGAAGGGACCTCTAGAAGTCATGCAGGGTCACCTAGAGCACGTAGCACAGGACTGCATCCAAGCGGGTTTTGAAGATCTCCAGGGAAGGAGACTCCGCAACCTCTCTGGGCAGCCTGTTCCAGTGCTCTGTCACCCTCACTGTCAAGAAATTTTTCCTTAAGTTCCTGTGGAACTTCTGATACTTCAGTTTCTGGCCATTTCCTCTAGTTCTGTTGGTGGCCACCAGTGAAAAGAGGCCAGCACCATCCTCCTCACTGCTTCCCTTGAGGTACTTATAGACACTGATCAGATCCCCTCTCAGCCTTCTCTTCTCCAGGCTGAACAGGCCCAGCTCCCTC